TGGAACTCACTCTGTAGAGACCAGACTGGCCTTGAACTTAGAGATCCACCTGCTTCTGCCTCCCAAGTGCTGGGATTAAGGGCATGCATCACCACCACCACCACCTCACAACCTGGTAGCTGTCTTTCATGTGACACTCTCCAGGAGAAAGTGTGACTCAAAAAAGATTAAAAAAAGTGGAACAGGTAAGTCAACTAAAGGACTAGGAAATGATGCTTAGAGAGCGATATGCTTGGACTGGACATTTGAGGAGATGGTCCATTTCTCTGAGAACAAGGGCTTAGAAGTCATCACAGCAGTGAGAGGTTGACTTGACTGGTAGGGGAATATGCATATGAAGGTGTTGAGCCTGAGAGTGCACAATAGTAAATGGTGCATCTATTGCTAAGGCTTAAACATCCAGAAGAGACCCCCTAAACTTTCAACCGGAGCCCTCAAACAGATCCTAAGGTACAAGCTCCAGAGATTTCACGTCTTTCCAGATCAAGTCCCAAACTGATTCTAGAAAAAAGTACACCCAGGCCTGAGTAAACTCCCAGAGAAAGATGACACCTTTCACTTATCAGAGTTCTTTTCCATAAAATTCATGATCTGAGGACCCAACTGGTGCTCCCATACACTTTACCTTGAGAGCAGCCTGAGCTACTTGTGAGATACTATCTCAACAAGCAGAGCACTTTTTTTTTTTTGAGTGCATCATAGGTTCGGCCTAGAGCACACGTAGCCTCTGGCTTGGGCCCCTTATGCTCTGCATAAGCCATAAAGCTGCATACAACATCCAAGACAGCATGCTAGCATACGTCCTGTAAATGACCACTATGAGGTAGATCTCTGTCATCTCCCAGCTAAATGATTTCTAAGGAGCAATATATCCCTTTCCATTGGCTCCGGTTTTCTCAGTGGACAAGTAGGGAACATTCACATAAACATCACGGGGTTGCAATGAGGATTAACCAAAGAATTTTGATTAAAAGCCATAGTTATAAGTATAGAAATGGGGCTGGGCTAAATTTCTACCAGTCTTGACAGAGTGATTTTGAGGAGATACTTTCCCAGATTAGCATTACAAATTATAATGAATGGAGTAACAGCCCCAGAGACTCATACTCCAACCAAGGACTATTTGTGGAGATGACCTGGAACCCCTGCACAGGTGTAGCCCATGGCAGTTCAGTGTCCAAGTGGGTTCCATAGTAATGGGAAGAGGGACTGTCTCTGACATAATCTGATTGGCCTGCTCGTTGATCACTTCCCCCTGAGGGGGGAGCAGCCTTACCAGGCCACAGTAGAGGACAATGCAGCCACTTTTGATGAGAACTGATAGACTAAGATCAAAAAGAAGGAGAGGAGGACCTCCCCTATCAGTGGACTTGGGGAGTGGCATGCATGCAGAAAGGGGAGGGAGGGTGGGATAAGCAGGGGAGGAGGGGGGGCTCATGGGGGGATACAAAATGAATAAAGTGTAATTAATAAAAAAAATAAAAGATTTAAAATAAAAAAAAGAATGGAGTAACAGCAATTCAAGTTTGTTTGTTTGTTTTTAATTTATAGGTGGGCCCTATTAGGTTATGACATATGGAATAGTAAGCCTATTGCAAGCTAACATTTGAAGAAACACAATTTCTCTCTTCTATTTAAAATTTATTTTAGTTTTTCAATACAGGGTTCCTCTGTGTAGCCTTGGCTGTGCATCACCATGCAAAGCTCACATAATTTCTCATACTCTTTTCTGTCATAAATAAATAAAATATTGGTTAGCTCCCACCATTTGCATGCAAATTTCAGGATTTCCTTGTTTTTAACTTCTGAGTAGTATTCCATTGTGTAAATGTACCACAATTTCTGTATCCATCCTTCAACTGAGGGAAATCCAGGTTGTTTCCAGCTTCTGGCTATTACAAATAAAGCTGCTATGAACATTGTTGAGCAAATGTCCTTTTTGTATACTTGAGCATCTTTTGGATATATGCCTAAGAGTGTTACAGTTGGATCTTGAGGTAGCACTATTCCTAATTGTCTGAGAAAGTGCCAGATTGATTTCCAAAGTGGTTGTACAAGTTTGCATTCCCACCAGCAATGAAGGAGGGTTCTCTTTCTCCACATCCTTTCCAGCATGTGTTGTCACTTGAGTTTTTTATCTTCGTCATTCTGATGGGTGTAAGGTGAAATCTCAGGGTCATTTTGATTTACATTTCCCTGATAGCTAAGCATGTTGAGCATTTCTTTAAGTGTTTCCCAGAAGCAGAAAGACACACATGGTGTATACTCACTTATAAGTGGATATTATACACATAATATAGGATAATCATACTAAAATCTGTACACCTAAAGAAGCTAATCAAGAAGGAGGACCCTGAGTAAGATGCTCAATCCTCATTCAGAAAGGCAATTGGGATAGACATCAGAAGAGGGAGAAAACAGACAACAGTACAGGAGCCTACCACAGAGGGCCTCTGAAAGACTCTACCCTGTAGGGTATCAAAGCAGAGGCTGAGACTCATAGCCAAACTTTGGGCTGAGTGCAGGGAATCTTATGAAAGAAGGGGGAGATAAAAAGAACTGGAGGGGACAGGAATTCCACAAGGAGAGAGAGAAAAAAATCTGGGCACAGGGATCTTTTCTGATACTCCAACCAAAGACCATTCATTAAGATAACCTAGAACCCCTGCACAGATGTAGTCCATGGCAGTTCAGTGTCCAAAGGGGTTCCCTAGTAATGGGAACAAGAACTGTCTCTGACATGAACTCAGTGGCCTGCTCTTTGATCACCTCCCCCTGAGAGGAATGCAACCTTACCAGACCACAGAAGAACACAATGCAGCCACTCCTGATGAGACCTGATAGGCTAGGGTCAATTGGAAGGGGAGAAGGACCTCTCCTATCAGTGGACTGAGGGAGGGGCATGGGTGGAGAAGAGAGAGGGAGGGTAAGATTAAGAGGGCACAAGGGAGGGGGCTATAGATAGGATACAAAGTGAAGAAACTGTAATTAATAAAAAAATAAGTAAATTTAAAAAAATGTTGTTCAGCCTATGAACAATGTAAATCTTCCTCCCCTTAAGGATTGGCCTAGGTGGAAACCCCATAAGAATATCTTTTGCCTTGAAGAAGCCAGAGCTTCAAAGCTTCTGGAGTTCCCAACTGTTGGGTTTTATCCATACAGTATCCATTTTCCATCTCTAGTAATGATGAACTTCATATGAGGGCTTTGATCAATGAATAATACTTATAGAAATAAGTTTGTTTGTTTGTTTGGTTGGTTGGTTGGTTGGTTTGGTTTTTCGAGACAGGGTTTCTCTGTGTAGCCCTGGCTGTCCTGTCCTAGACTGGTCTGGCCTCAAACTCTACCTCCCCAGGTGCTAGGATTACAAGCATGAGTCATTGCAACTGGCTCATTTTTATTTATTGAAAAAGAACTTTCTAAAATAATCATATCAATAATAGCAATCTGTTTCAGCCTGATATTTGAAGTTAGATGATCTAGTTTATGACAAGAGTTTGGGGCAAAAAACTAGTCATTTCTTAGATATATCTTCCTCAAGCCCTTAGTAAACTACTGCATTTTCTTTGTTTTTAACTTTTTATCGTTTCTTTGTGAGTTTCACATCATGTACCCCAGTCCCTCTCGTCTCCTTGTTTCCTCACATCCATACTTCTCCCTTGCAACCTTCTACCCAAAATAAAACGAAGTACAAGGCCTGCTCTTTCAAGTGCTACAGCCAGTGAGGGGTCAGGGCTAGCTCTCCCACTCCCACGTTCCCAGGGCCAGCTCTCTTGTGTACTGCAAAGTGGCAAGGGGGAGTGGGAGTACATCCCCCACATACTAAGGCCACCTCATGGCAGACAAGCGGTGGGGCCATCTCTCCCATGCTCTTGCCCTCTGGACTGGCTCACTTGCATTTCCTGCAGCAGGGCCAACCCTGCTATACTGCCCAGGTGAGGTGCAGGGCCAGTCCTCGCAAGTGCTGAAGCTGCCTCTCATGACCCCAGGGACCAGCTCTCTGGACTGCAGAAGGTGGTGGGGAACAAAGAGGAGAAGGCATCACCCTTGTACCCATGCCACACCATGGCAGGTGAGTGGCAGGGCCAGCTCTCCTGCACACTCATTCTCGAAGGTGGCTCACCTGCACACCCACCACCAGTGTTATCGCTGCTGTGCTGTACATCATGTGCAGAGCCTGCTCTCCTGAGTGCTGCAGCTGGTAAAGGATAAGGCTAGCTCTCCCAAGCTCATGATCCTTTGTCCAGTTTTCCCAACTGCCAGGAGTGGCAAGGGGTGTGGGATGGGGCATCATCTCTGTGCCCATGCCACATCACAGCTGATGAGCTGCAGGGTCAGCTCTTCCACACTTACACTCTTGGAGCGGGCTCACCCAACATGGCCAGCTCCACTGTGCTACCTGAGCAAGGTGCAGGACCGGCTGAACTGAGTTCTATCAGTGGTGAGATATAAGGCCAGCTCTCCAGAATGCTGTATCTAGTGAGGGGCAAGGCCAGTTATGCACAGCCCCTGGACATCCGCTCAGTCTCTGGTGGCTACCCTGACCAGACCAGGAACATCCCCATGTTCTTTAGTGGTAATATGATTCATGGACATCAACATCAACCTCTGCCACTGAGTAGCCATGGACTCAGACATGGGTACTCATTAGCAGCTTAGGCTAGGACCTCAGCATGGGCCCAGGAGGTGGGGCTGTCCATTCACGACAGGCTACTTCTCTACATGAAAGTCTCCAGTTCCATCTTTTTTCATAATGCTTAAGCTGTTCCACTTCTTTTTCTCTCCCATCTGACCACCACATATTCACACATTGTAGTTGCTCCCACTGCAGGCTGGTCACAAGGTTGGTGAAATCCTGGGTGACGTCCTTCATCTGTGCTGCATAGTGTGGTGGCAAGCCAGTGTCTATGGCAGATCTGTGGGTGGCATGGAAATCTGCAGATCTCTGACTTTCTTCCTCCTCCCACACTGTGCTGTCTGGATTTGATTTGATTTGATTTTTATGAATCCTAGACATAAAACAGCTTTGGCCACCAAGCCAGACATCAAACTAGAATGAACAAAGGACTGCCATCTGCTCTGCTCCTAACTTAGAAAGAACATCAGCAACAACAAGGTGTCTCTTTGCCTATTGCCAGGGGATAACTGTTGAATTTTTAATGATAAATGTTTTGAAAATGGTCTTTCAGCAACTTGAACAATAATGTTTATTTTTAAGGCAGGGTTTTATGTAGCCCAGGCTGGTTTCAAACTTGCTATGCAACCAAGAATAACCTTCAATGACTGCTCTTCCTGCCTCCTCGTGTGCTATGAAGTTATCAAGTTTTTTTTTTCCTTCCTTCTTTCCTTCCTTCCTTCCTTCCTTCCTTCCTTCCTTCCTTCCTCCCTCCCTCCCTCCCTCCCTCCCTTCTTTCTTTCTTTCTTTCTTTCTTTCTTTCTTTCTTTCTTCCTCTCTTTTTTTTTTTTTTTTTTTTGAGACAAGACTTCTCTGTGTAACCTTGGCTGTCCTAAACTTGCTTTGTAAACCAGGCTGGCCTCAAACTCAGAGATCCATCTGCCTCTGCTTCCCTGAGTACTGGAATTACAGACATGCACCACTGTGCCTGAACCGTTTTTGTTTTTCAAGACAGGGTTTCTCTGTGTATTCCTGACTGTCCTGGCTCACTCTGTAGACCAAGCTGACCTTGAACTCAGAAATTCACTTGCCTCTGTCTCCGAAATGTTGGGATTAAAGGCGTGCACTACTATTGCCAGGTTCACCACGTGTTTTTTTTGTTTGTTTGCTTGCTTTTGTTTTGTTTTGTTTTTTCGAGACTGGGTTCCTGCATCCTGAAACAGGGTCTCACTCTGTAGCCCAGCCTGGTCTGAAACTGATTACTTGAACTCCCAGAAATTGTGTGACCACCTCCCATGTAGTTGGATTTCAGGTGTGAGCCACTAAACATGGCTATTCATTGTTTTTGAGACAGACACACAGATGTGTGCATTCAAGGGAACAAACACACATCCACACACCATACTGGACTTGAGCCCAGAACCTCGGGTATAATAGGTAAGAACTTTGCCATTGATCTATGCTCCTCAGTTTCCTGTACTATTATAGTAAAATATCTTTTATACAAATTGATGAATTGTTTTATGTTTCTTGCAACCAAAGGAAAAGAAACATAGGGGAAAAGGAAACTTAGGGGAAAAGGGAGGGGACAATGGCCATAGTGTGTTTGTGTGTGTTGAAGGGAAATTGCCCCCTGCCTTTTCTTCCAATCGTGAAGTTTGTAGAATGAAAGAGAAGGCTGAAGAATGTGGTTTTCAAGCCCCACTGGCTCAGAAACTAAATTACAATAAGACTTCGAGATGATTTGTATGCTCACTAGAATTTAGAGATGCACTAAATCTAAATCGAGCTGACTTGGGACACGTGCCCATCTTTTGACTAGAGGACAGGATACCACAGCTGACAGTCCTGACTGATTATATCTGATAGGAAGATATTATCATTTATATATCCCAAATAAAGTCTGGGTATGGATCAGTGGTAGAGCACCCTGTACCATGCACAAGGCTCTGGGTTCCATTGCCAGCAGCATCAAGGAATAAAGCGATATTCCCACAGAGATGGTGATTTGCACACACAATCCCAGAACTCAAGGGGTAGAAGCAGGAGGATCTCCAGTTTCAGGCCAGCCTGAAAAATTTGTGTCTAAAAACAAATTTCCCCCAACATGATTCTGTAATCAAAATAATAGTGAGTGAATGCATAAACATATAAATCTCCATTTCACCTTTGGTCTTTTTTGGTGAATGAGGTTTGGAAGATTTGTTTTTTAATGAAGAATTAAAAACAAGCTGGGTGAGGTGGTACATGCCTGTAATCCCAATACTCAGGGAGGCAGAGGCAGGCAGATGTCTGTGAGTTAAAGTCCAGCCAGGTCTGCAAATCGAGTCCAGGACAGCCACAGCTACACAGAGGAACCCTGTCTCAAAAACAACAATAACAAAAATAAATTAAAAAAAAAAAAACAGCAGCAACAACAAAACTCTGCATTCATTTAATATGGACGTGTATTTTTTCCCTAAAAAGAGAAATTTCAAGGATTTGAAAGAGAATGGCTCTCAACTCTAGAAGTGTATCCTAGAGAATGAGGACAATGAATTTATGACAGGCAAACTCCTGCCTCAGTCTGAACCTAAGTAATGTCTTTGAGAGGAAAAGCTAGGAAAGATGGCCAGAAAGGCCATCAGCCTCAGATAGAAGCTGACTAGTGGTCAATAGTGACACGTCGTGGCAATGATATACAATGACAGACGTGGTAGTGGAGCACCCGTTAAGCCCCACCCCTTTGTATCTGTTGCAGAGTGTATAAACTTCTGGATAAATCAGAGGAAGGAAAAGTCCATGAGCACAGTAATGGACAGCTTGTTGGTGAATAAAAGTCCAAACCTGTTTCCAGTTTTTATTTAATTGGAGAAATACAAGACCATGAATACTTCATCTTCAAAACTTGAAGAACTGTTTGATCAGAAGTCTACATATTCATGTAATTGTTGGTTGTTTTTTCCTAACCAAAATACATGAAGAGGGCAGGGATTCAGTTTGTCTTATCTGCCTGCTGTCCCAGAACACACTGCATGGTGGATGCTTTGACTTGGTTTGCTTTAAAATTTTTAATCTAGTTCAACACAGTGACACACTCCTGTAATCCCAGCATTCAGGAGGCCGAGGCAAGGGTGTTTGTGTCAGTTTGAGGTCAGCCTGGTCTACAAAGTGAGCCCAGGACAGCCAAGGGTACACAGAAAAACTCTGTCTCAAAAATTATATATATGTATATAAATTTAACTTTATGTGTATGGTGTTTTGCTTGCATGCAGGCCAGACTGTCTTGGAACTGGTGGCAATCTTCCTGCTTGGTTATAGGCATGAGCCACCAATTCAAATGAATGTGTGTTAATGAATGTGAGAAGGGCTTTAGTATTCTAAGAAGTAACATTAGGCATTGGTCATTGAACAAATCCAAAAGTAGCCTTTCTTTACTGTAGTAGCAGTCCTTTCCCACTGGGGGCTTCCCTGAGCTGCCATCAACGGTGGCCACGGTTGTTTTCCTGCTTCTGCCCTTTTTCATGATCCTCTCCCCCATCCAACACAGTTTTCTTTTTTTGTAAAGTCATTTTCCTAAACTTTTGACTTTCTGTAATGTCCCCAATCACCATTTCTAACTATCCCCTTACCGGAACCACTGATTCTTAAAATAATTTCAGCAAGAGGAAGAACCTCCAAAAGTGACTTCTATTTTGCTTTTCTCGCCTTCCAATCTTTATTATACTATGCCAGGGTCTACTCAAGGATTTATCTTCATTTTAGAAACATGGTATCATATGGCACACATCACCTCAGAGTAAAGGGTTAGGAAAAGATATTCCACACAAATTGACTGAAAACGCAAGCTGATGTAGCTGGTTTCATGTCTTAGAAAATAGACTTCAAACCAAAACTAACCAGAAGTGATAAGGAAGGACACTATATACTCATCAAAAGAAAAGCCCACCAAGAGGACACTGCAATTCTTAACATCTATGCCTCAAACACAAGGACACCCAAGTTTATAAAAAACACAATACCACAGCTTAAATCACATACAAATAGTGGGAGACTTTAATACATCACCCTCACCAATAGACAGGTGATCCAGAAAAACAGAACAAAACAAAACCTAAACTGAGAAATAATGAAACTAACAGATATTATGAATCAAATGGACCTAATAGATATTTATAGACCTTTTCACCCAAACACAAATGAATATACCTTCTATTCTACACCTCATGGACCTTTCTCCAAAATTGACCATATAATTGGACACAACACAAGTCTCAATAGATACAAGAAAATTGAAATAACTTCCTTCATCCTATCAAAGCACCACAGATTAAAACTGCATATCAACAGAAAGCTTACAAACTCATGAAAAATGAACAATTCCCTACTGAATGAAAAAATATGTCAAGACAGAAAAATTAAAAAAGAATAAGGACTTTTTAGAACTGAATGAAAATGAGTAGACAATGTACACAATCTTGTTTGTTTGTTTGTTTGTCTGTTTGTTGTTTTTTTTCAAGACAGGGTTTCTCTGTGTAGCCTTGGCTGTCCTGGACTCCCTTTGTAGAGCAGGCTGGCCTTAAACTCACAGAGATCTGCCTGCCTATGCCTCCCCGAGTGCTAGAATTGCAAGCATGTGCCATTGTGCCTGGCTTGACAATATACACAATCTCTTTTTTAAATTTTTTATTAATTACAGTTTATTTACTTTGTATACCCCTGTAGCTCCCTCCCTCCTCCCCTGCCAATCCTACCCTCCCTCTCCCTTCTCCACCTATGCCCCTCATCCAGTCCACTGATAGGGGAGAGCTTCCTCTCGTTCCTTCTGATCCTAGTCTATCAGGTCCCATCAGGAGTGGCTGCATTGTCTTCCTCTGTGGCCTGGTAAGGCTGCACCCCCATCAGGGAGAGTTGATCAATGAGCAGGCCAATCAGTTCATGTCAGAGACAGTCCTTGTTCCTATTACTATGGAACCCACTTGGACACTGAACTGCCATGAGCTACATCTGTGCAGGGGTTCTAGGTTATCTTAATGAATGGTCTTTGGTTGGAGTATCAGTCTCAGAAAAGACCCTTGTGCCCAGATATTTTGGTTCTGTTGCTCTCCTTGTGGAGCTCCTGTCCTTTCCAGGTCTTACTATTTCCCACTTCTTTCATAAGATTCCCTGCACTCTGCCCAAAGGTTGGCCACAAGTCTTAGCATCTGCTTTGATAACCTGGAGGATAGTGCCTTTCAGAGGCCCTCTGTAGCAGGCTCCTGTACTGTTCCCTGTTTTCTTCTTCTTCTGATGTCCATCCTCTTTGCCTTTCTTAACGGGGATTGAGCATTTTAGCCATAGTCCTCCTTCTTGATTAGTTTCTTTAGGTGTACAGATTTTAGTAGGTTTATCCTATATTATATGTCTAATATCCACTTATAAGTGAATCTATACCATGTGTGTCTTTCTGCTTCTGGGACAGCTCACTCAGGATGATCTTTTTTAGTTCCCACCATTTACCTGCAAATTTCATGATTTCCTTGTTTTCAAAATTTTCCAAATTTCATGTT